GTCAGTTCCTGTCTAACAGTGCCTCGTTAGAAATACTAAGGGCAAAACATTTAACACAAAACATTTACTTTTTATAACATACCACATTGTTTTTTTTGTAATTATAGAATGATTTTTGAGAACCAATTCATGTAGGTTGCGATTTTTTTTAAGAAAACACCAAAGAGATAACAATAAATCATAAAGGAACAAGGATGGTTAAGGATGGAGAAGATTAACACGGATTAGAAACGACGAAATTGAAAAATTTAGGCTTAACTTTTCAAGATGAGTAAACCGTGATGTATTAATTTACCAGCCGGTAGCTGGTAAATGAAAATTTACATGAAGAAATACTGGCGCTCTTTGGCAATAGTGCATAATAGGATTTTGAAGAAAAATAGTGGCACAGACAACATGTATATCCTGCGCACTTGTTCAACAAATTGTATAGAGAACATGTAACTTTTGATAGTATTTTCACAACTTGAATAGTTTTTAGAAAGTAAAAGAGCCTTACAATTTAAACTTTTATCAAGCATTAAGCGTCTTAGCCGAATTTACTTAGGGAAAGAAAAGAATATAATCAAGAATATTTAGTAAACACTGTCGACGAGAAAGACTAGTTAAGTGAAGTCTAAATTAATTTAGTTTGTATTTGTTAGGTTTACAGTTAGCTGCTTTGAAAATGGTGCAAACGAAAACAATGAGACAAGTAGTTTAATTTACATAAGGTAGCGAGAAGTTTAAGTAGGGTGACTCAAGAAAATCATCCACAATACGTTTTCTTCAGTTTATCGCAAGCAGTGACTGTTATGAAAGTAGAAGAACTTTTTGATTCTTTCAGCCTGTACTACTTATGAAAAGTGAACTAGTCTTTTGTTGTGTTTGTTTGTTGATTTAAGGTCTAGAAAAACAAATTAAAACTTTAAGCAATATAAATCTCAGCTGGAGTCCATTCACTTTTAAGATGTGAGCTGTTTGAGGGCACAAAACAGAAACTGCTTTGTCGGCGGGCGTGAAGCAGTTACTTAATTATCAACGTGAAATGGAATGCTATATGTTATAAAAAGCGCGATCAGGAACAATGATAATTTCAGGGCCCTCAAGTAAGTTTGCCAAAGCAGCGAAGATGAGTTTGTAACAGATAAGAAAGTGCATTTTGGGTCCTTGTTTATCTTTATTTTCCAACAGTAGAGGGGTTAACACGTCTGAGAAGCAAAATTTAGTCGGCCATGTTTGTATATTCAGTATTGGACAGGAACTAGCTTGCAAATGAGGCAACGGCGAGGAGTGTTTCCAAATGCAAATGAAATTACCAATGAAATCTTGACTCTTGAATCTAAATACGGATTTTGCCTTCCTTTTACTTCATCCTGCAATGCAATGGTGTGTTACTAAAGTCCAAACAAAAATGTGAATTAAAGCGAAAAAAGAAAACCGTACAATATAGAGAAACAAAGGAGCAAAGAAAATTTAAGACCAAATCCTTTCTGCGACCAGAGAAAGCGAGCGAAATGGGCGTGTACAACGAGTCAACGAACCCAAGGATGATTGGACCCCTAGTAAACCCTGGGAATGACGGCGAGGCCAGGCTGGGACGTGGCCTGGACGCTACTCCATTTATTAAAGGCCAGTCGAACTTGATACCAAATCATATCCTTTGACGACGCACCTTAGTATCGCTTAAAGAAACGAACCTTTTCAATTAGGAACAAGATGAAGGAGTGACGATTGGTTTGTATGTATATTACTATAGAAATTTCATTTATAATAATACGATAACTTTATTATTAAGTCAATGATTCTAGCTTATATACTACTTTACAACGGTATGTTAATTGGCGACACCTAACTAACCAATTCTAATAAGAAACACAAGATCCAGTTTTAAGGTCTGAACGAAATTTTGTGTACATAGCTAAGCATTATAGAAAAAAAATCACTGTTTCAAAGTTATTCTTTAGTTTTCATGTCGTTACTATGCATTGAAAAGATTTAAATGTCATTAATAATTCGTTGTCCTTTTGCTGATCCAGACTAGACTGGATTGCGCTCTGATTTTGCCGGACTCCTCAAGTAGTAACGGTAAGAACATTAGACTTAATCTAGATATCGTCTGTTCCCTACCCTCGTTTGACATGTTTATTGTGCATTGAAATGTTTTTGAATATTTATTAGAACTAACTAGTAATGTATCATTGTCTGTTTTAGGGGACTTACAAGGGTGAAGTTGGATGTCGTTCGGATTTTGTTCGGATTCTCGCATCTCTAGTTTACATTAGAAAGTATAAGCCACGCCTTTATAACGATACACATTAAAGTTTAAATGTAGATTGCACAATTGTATCAAAGAATAATTTTAATGTTCAGATCAAGAAAACTGTGCTTTAGAAGGCAATACTAGGTGACTTTCGGTCTCATGTGCGCTGATCTTTGTGTGTTGTTTTTCTTTTTTGTGTTCAATTTGTTTGTGACTGCCAGTTCTGTACTTTTATAGCCTCATATTGGCAGGTGCGCATGTATCTTTATCTTCGTGTACAGTCTAGAGCTGTGTGCCTCTCTTTATCTTCCTATGTTGCTTGCAGCTTTGTGCGTTCAGTAACCTTCCGTTTCCGCGTTTACTTTTGTTTATGACTCAGTGCAAGTTTTGCGTTTATCTTTGCCAGTGATCTAAACTTTCAGTTTAGCATGTCCCTTTAGATCTATGACTTCCAGTTTACTTGAAATGATCTACGACGGTATTTCCAGTTTCGCTTGTTTATGATTTTCTGCCAATTTTTAAGGCATGTTTATCTTTCTTCGTCTGTGACTTTCATTTTTTTAGGGAGGTTACCTGTGACGGTATATTTCAATTTTGTTCATCTGTCGCAGCCATTTTGCTTCAATATCAGCATGGAGTTAGAGGCAAAAACATAGACCTACTAAAGAAATACACGTCTCAGTTGAGATAGCTTGTTTGAGTTTTTTCTGTTGCCCTGTAGACAAACAAAGTCCTATTGTAAAAGAGAGACTGTTGTCGCCTTTTTTTGTATTCTTTCCTCCGAGCTAAAGGGGAGTGGTAATATTATTTACAGTTAACTATCTTATCGCTTGTTTTTTAAACAAATTGACTTTAATAAGCAAGGAACCATAAATTGAAATCGCTAATTAATTATGGTTCCTTGCCAGGAGTTTCTGACAGCAGTAAAATCATGACAGAAAGATCTATTGTTGTCTATTATTGTGTATGTGTTTCTTTGAAGGCAGAGGAAATCCCATAATGGATTGCTCACCATTTAATTATGCGCATGTCTGGATAGATAGATTGTTGAAGTTCAATTGTTGCTCGTTTTCCACCTTATTAAACTGATAATGTGATTGTGTTTTAAGAATTTTCCAGTAGAAATAACAAACTCGTGTTGTAACCAGAAAAGTGCGAAACCGAGAATCATTTTGATTTCAAGATGAATTACAACAAAGAAATTCAACAAAGAAATTTAAATTGAAACTTTCTACTTCCCTTGACTTCCAACGCATGAATTTTCAGATGAAATCTGATTGGCACACCTTTATAGCATGACACACGATAACATCGTTAATGACAGTTAAGCAACGTAATGGCGACAGAGGACTCCTTAAGTAAATGTATCAGGTGTTATTTTTCGCCTTCCCATATTCGCTCCCCCCCTGCACCACCCCCCCACCAAAAAAACGCCTGATGGCAGGTTACCTGTGAACATGTGAGCGTATGAGAGCCCGGCTTTGAGTTTGACAAAAGCGAAAGCGTCAAAAGGTAGAGGTCCCGTAAGTTGTCAATTATCCAAAAGACTCGTGACCAGACCAGATTAGACCATGATCTCTCCCCCAGTCTCACTCCAGAGAGTGGGAAGAAGAGAGACCCTGGAAACGAGGTTGTCAATAACTTCCCTCTCTTCCCCTCGCTGTAATTTTTTAGTTGCCCTACGTACGGTTTCCCTTTGATGTGATAGGATAGAAACACATGTTCATGTTGCAATTATAACAACAGCAGTGAATTAGTGGATCATCAAACTTTGGTCCAAATTAGTTCCCACTTTTATTCTCTGTTATATTCTAACAGAACTGATCAGTGACATGAACAACGTAGACGAAGTTATACAAGTCATCTCAATCGGCTTCATTGTTGCCGGCTTTCTTCTCAACACCAGTCGATATCTAACAGCCATCGAATTATGCAAGGAATGCTTGTTCATTCTGAAAGACAGAGCAGCCATAATAGACGAGAAAATCACCAAATCATTCTACAAGGGAATATATTTTACAATGTGGAAGGCTTGTAAACGTATCAGGGATAACACAAACGCCATAAAATACGCAGAAAATACTCTCCTAATTTACTATGAAAATGGCGAAAGACTGTGAAAGAATGTGAGCTAAGCTTAAAACTTGCAAAAATGTATTTTCATCATTGTAGATACCCAGAAGCAATACAACTCTCTGAAAAAGCTCTCCTNAACAGCCATCGAATTATGCAAGGAATGCTTGTTCATTCTGAAAGACAGAGCAGCCATAATAGACGAGAAAATCACCAAATCATTCTACAAGGGAATATATTTTACAATGTGGAAGGCTTGTAAACGTATCAGGGATAACACAAACGCCATAAAATACGCAGAAAATACTCTCCTAATTTACTATGAAAATGGCGAAAGACTGTGAAAGAATGTGAGCTAAGCTTAAAACTTGCAAAAATGTATTTTCATCATTGTAGATACCCAGAAGCAATACAACTCTCTGAAAAAGCTCTCCTGATCAGTAGAGAAATTGGAAACAGAAAAAGAGAAGCTGACTGTCACGTAAGCCTGGGAGCCGTGTATCAATCCGTCGGTGAATATGAGAAAGCTAAAGGACATCTCGAAAAATCACTCTCCATCCACAAAGAAATTGGAGATAGAAACGGAGATGCTAACTCGTACTTAAACCTTGGAGCTATTTGTCGATCAGTTGGTGAATATGAGGAGGCTAGAGAACATCTCGAGAGAGCACTTGCGATCTACATAACAATTGGAGACAAAGAGGGAGAAGCGACAGGTTACATGAACCTTGCAAATGTTTATGCATCAGTTGGCAAATATGAGAAGGCTAAAGGACATCTGGAGAAATCACTTGTGATGTACAAAGAAATTGGTGACAGAAGAGGAGAAGCTAGCTCTTGCTTAAGCCTCGGAACTGTGTATCAATCAGTTGGCGAATACGAGAACGCTAGAGAAGTTCTCGAGAAATCAGTTGCGATCCAGAAAGAAATTGGACACAGAAAAGGCGAAGCTGTCTCCTACGTAAGCCTTGGAGCTGTGTGTGGGTCAATTGGCGAATATGAGAAGGCTAGAGAACATCTCGAGAGAGCACTTGTGATCTACAAAGCAATTGGAGACAAAGAGGGAGAAGCAATAGGTTACGTAAACCTTGGAAGTGTGTATGCATCAGTTGGCGAATATGAGAAGGCTTCAGACTACTGGCAAATATCCTTAGTCATCAGTAAAAAGATTGGAAACAGATTTACACTAGCTATGTCTTACCAAGTGCTGGGAGTTAAATTTTACCATTTTGGAAAGTACAGTAAGGCTAACGAATATAATCAGAAAGCACTTGCAATTTTCAAAGACATTGGAGACAGAGAAGCGATGGCTAGATCGTACCTCTGCCAAGGATCTGTAGAGTACACTGTTGGTAACTTTGTCAAGGCAAGAGAATATTTTGAAAAAGCAATTGCGATAAGCAAAGAAATTGGAAATGAGGATTTAGAAGGAGCAGGTTGCTCAAACCTTGGAGGTTTGCTTTTAAGTCAGGCTGAATATGATAGAGGAGAAGAACATATCAAGAAAGCACTCGCATCAAGTGAAGCAATAGGGGATATTAAGGGACAGCTCGATTCGCTCCAAATTATGGCGCACCTTAGAATGAAAGAAGGAAAGATTCAGGAAGCAATCTCATATTTCCTTTCTGCTATTGAAAAAAGCGAGGAAATGCGCGGCTCTCTCCGAGACAACGATGAATTTAAGATCTCTCTCTCGGATCGCAATATTGGCTCCTACAGAGATCTCAGTGCGTTGCTTTTTGCAACCGGATATCCTACTGAAGCTTTGTATGTGTCAGAGTTTTCGAAGGCCAGGGCTTTGGCAGATTTAATGTCAGCTCAGTACTCTGTGGAGAATCAAATCCCAGCTAATCCTCGAACGTGGGTTCGTATTGAGGGCATCGTGGACAAAGAATGTAACCGCACATGTCTGTACGTCTCATATCATTTTGAGAGTATATATTTGTGGATTCTTAAAGAAGGCAGAGTCACACATTTCAATGAAATGAAAGGAAATGATCTAATTGCTCACGAAGGATTAGGTCAACAAGTGGAAGTCTTTTTTGATTTCAGAAGTTTTGGCGTTTTACCAGAG